GCTGCATATGAAATAGTTCCTCAAATGTAGTGGGGACAGTGCCAGGTGGAGAGATAATGGGGAGGGGGAGGCCTGTACTACATCCTCCTCCCCCCTACAGCTGACTCCCTCCACCTCCTGTCACGTATGAAACTTCCTAGGACAGAGGGTCCCTGGGGAGCACCGCAGACTCTGGGCCCCTACACTGCTCAGCTCCAACTAATGGCAGAAGATGCTTGCCTTGCATGACACTGCAATGCAGTATGATTTCAGGAGAGCTAGTGGGGTCATCATCCATCCTCCACCTCTATTTGAGGCAAGTGTCCAGAGGGGATCCACAGCTTGGCATGTTGTTGTTGCTGTTAGGTGCCATCGAGTCAGTTCCCACTCAGAGCGACCCTATGTACAACAGAGCGAAACACTGCCCGGTCCTGGGCCATCCTCACAATCGGTGTTATGCTTGAGCCCACTGCTGCAGCCACTGTGTCAATCCAACTTGTCGAGGGTCTTCCTCTCTTTTGCTGACCTTTTACAGCTTGGCATACTACTACAAAAATGCTGGAGTGGTTCAATGACTTATCCACAACGCAAATCAGATCATGACAGTCTTTTTTAAACTCAAAGAAATTATATTTTCCACTATAAATGTGATCCTATATTAAAAGGCAAAGAGTAGAAGTTGAGAAAAGGAGAAATTCCCTTGCAACTCTAGCTAGCTCATCATCCATACCAATTTGAAATTTAAAAACCTGCCCAAGAGGATGCTACTGTTGACTCCCATACATCACAGGCCAAACTGGAATTCCTATTTCCGTCAGCCTCCTGCCTGGAGCCTCCGTATTTGGGAACTTTTTTGGAGGATCTGTTTTTGGCTAACAGTGACAGCACATAAGAGGGCTCCCCAGGGAACCACACTTGAGAATGGGCTTCTCTACAGCAGGTAGTGGGACCCTGGCAGCTCCAGGGGAGCATGGCAGACGGGCATGTTACCTGGAGGGGTAGCCAGCAGCGCTGATACGAATTGTCTCCAACACCCCACAGGCTCTGAGCTGCTGCACTGCTCTCCTGGGATCAAAGCTACAAAACAACAAGACAGGCAATGAGTGAACATGTTGGTAAATAACAAACAGACCAGGAGAGAAAGAAAGCACGCCTCTGCCTGCAGCAGACGAAGGACCTTTTGCCACTGGATTACACAGATCATCGTGCACCTGGAGTTCAAGGTCTGGGGCAAAGCAGACTACCGGATATGGTTGGCAGGCACGTGAGCCGGGTCAGCGTCTTTGGTTCTGTGCACCTTCTCATTCTTGCCTGGGATACCCAGCTTCTTCATTGCCTACTTGAACTCTCCAAGGCTTATTCCTGCCTCCTCTCTGGAGCCTTCCCTGATTAACTCCACCCACATGGGCACCTGTCATAAGTCACCTTCCAAGTTCTAAACACTTGGCACTATGAGCATTATTTCAGCTCTATGGCTAAAAGGATGTTTTTAGGGCCAGGCAGACCTGGGTCTGAGTTGTGACATGGTCACTCACCAGCTATATGTGTAAGTTGGGTAATATAACTTAACCTGTTTGGGCCTCAGTAGCCTCATCTATAAAATGGGGATAACAACAATC